AAGCTCCATGTTTAGCAGTTTGAGGAACCTCCAAACAGTTTTCCATAGTGGTTGTACTAGTTTTCATTCCCACCAGCAGTGCAGGAGAGTTCTGCTAGACTTTTAGATTTTCTGAAGTTGTTTCATTCTGTTAGATGCACCCTACAAACCTGTTATCCCTACTTGCAAAATAATATCATATACATATTATTTAATTGTGCTTTTGTATTATAAAAATACCTTTTCTTTAATTCAGAAGGAAATAAAGAAAGAAATTGAGAGGAGAAAAACTGGAAAAGAAATGTTGGATTATAAAAGGAAGCAAGAAGAAGAACTAACAAAAAGAATGTTGGAGGAAAGAAACCGAGAAAAGGCAGAAGACAGGGCAGCTCGAGAGCGTATTAAACAGCAGATTGCATTGGTGAGTATTAAATTTTTTTTTTAAGATTTTTTTTTTAAAGATTCATACTGTTTTTGAAATTTTTTCACACACAGTAATTTTGATTTGCTAACCTATAAAATACAGTAGATTTTAGATTTAGTACCAGTTCTTAGCTTCTTTTATTGAAAATTATAATTGAATTAAAATATGCTTAAGATTAAAGTTGATAAGATTTTTTACAAAGTAATTTTTGTTATGAATTTTAACAGTACAGGCATACCTCATTTTATTGTATTTCACTGTATTGTGTTATGCAGGTAATGTGTTTCTTCTTTTTTTTTATATTTATGCATACAGAACTGAGTTATAGGCCAGATGTGCAGGAACAATGAGAGGATTCATCAGAGACAGTAGAGAGCAGAACAGGCAGATCAACAAAGTACACTGCTCAGGGGAACAGTGGGCGAGACAGGAGAGGTTTGCAGAGCTATATTGGTAACCTCCCTGGTTGGGGGTCAAACTCATGCAGAGGCAGCTGTGGCTAACTTTGCAGTGTTTTGCTTTAACCCATTGTGCCACAAGGAAGGGCTGGATAATGCATTTTTTTTTTTTTTAAGATTTATTTATTTGTGCATACAGAACTGGGGTACAGACCAGAGGTTCAGGGGCAGCGAGAGGCTTCACCAGAGATAGAGTGGGGAGCAGAACAGGTAGATGGACGAAGAACACTGCTGAGGGGAGCAGCGGGCGGGCCAGGAGAGGTCTGCCGCACCATGTGGTCACCACCAGGGCGGGTGGGGATCGAACTCATGCGGATTGAACTCATGCAGAAGTGGCTTTAGCTTCTTAGTGCTGTGCTTTAACTACCACTTCGCCACCATGGAGGGCCCAATTATGCATTTTTTACAAAATGGTGTGTTGCAGAAAGATGATGACTTCAAAGGCACAGAATGATTAGCATTTTTTTAAACTTTTTTTTAAGATTTATTTATTTATGTATACAGAACTGTGGTACAGGCCAGAGGTGCAGGGGCGGTGAGAGGATTCACCAGAGACAGTGGGAGCAGAACAGGCTGACTGATGAAGTACACTGCTGAGGGGAGCAGTGGGTGAGTCAGGAGAGATCTGCTGCACCATGTGTACCACCTCCAGGGCGGGGATCGAACTTATGCTGAAGTGGCTTTAGTTTCTTAGTGCTGTGCTTTAAACCCACTGCACCACCAGGGAGGGCCTGATTAGCATTTTTTTAACAAACTTTTTTTGGTAAGGTGTGCATATTGCTTATTTATATATAATGCTATTTCATTTTATTAGATTGTATTGTAAATATAACTTTTAAATGCACCGAGAAACAAAATATTTTGTGACTTACTTTATCACAATGTTCTGTCTATTGTGGTGATCTGGAACTGAGCCTGTAGTATCTCTAACGTGTGTCTGTAGTAAAAAGGTAGTTTTCAAAGATTTCCTAGGAGAGAAGCTAAAAATTTGTTACGGCAATCTCATTTAGACACAAGCAAGCTTTGTTATAGTTGGTTTATTTCCTTAATGGACAGTCTTTTTTGGGACGTTCAAAGGATTCAGACACATCAAGATAGAAGAGTAAGATGGCCTTACAGTAATGACTTTAAGAATTGAATAGTTGTAGTAGATATGAAAATTATGCCTGCTTTATATGTTTTTTTATTAAAAAAAGTATTGAGTATTAATTATATGATAGACATTGATCCATGCTCTCAAGATACAGTAAATAAAGTCCTTTATTTAATAAAAATTCTGGTCCCTGACAGTTGATAGAAATAAAAATTATCAGATCCAAAATGAGTTCATGTCTGGTTTTAAGAAATTTCATATGGGCCTCCCTTGTGGCACAGCACTGTCTCCAGCCACTGCAGCATGAGTTAGATTCCTGGCTAGAGAGCTAACCCACATGGTGCAGCAGACCTCTCCTGTCTTGCCCACTGCTCCTAATAGCAGTGTGTTTCAATAGAACTGCCTGTTCTGCATCCTGCTCTGTCTCTGGTGAATCCTCTCACCCCCTACATCTCTGGCCTAGACCCCAGTTCTTGTATGCATAAGTAAATAAAAAATAGTTTAAGATTTATGTATTTATGCATACAGAACTGGGGTGCAGGGCAGTTGAGAGACTTTACCACAGAGTGGGGAGCAGAATAGGCAGATCAGCAAAGTTACACTGCTGAGGGGAGCAGCCGGCAAGTCAGGAGAGGTCTGCCATGCCATGTGGATCACCTCTGGGGCTGGGGATTGAGCTTGTACTGAAGCAGCTGTGGCTCACCTGCAGTGCTGCATCCTAACCCATTGTGCCACCAGGGAGGGCCCCCCAAAAAATAGATCTTTTTTTTTTTTTTTAAGGAAATTTCATGTTACTGTGTTTTGTTTGTGAATAGATCATCCATGTAACATAATGTCAAATGACTGTTTTAAAGGACCGTGCAGAGAGGGCTGCTCGTTTTGCGAAGACAAAGGAAGAAGTAGAAGCTGCCAAAGCTGCTGCCTTGCAGGCCAAACAGGCAGAAATGGAAATAAAGAGGGACTCAGCTGCAAAAAGACGAAGGTACTTTATTTTATACCATATGTGTACATGGCAGCTGAGGAGACTAGTTATGCATTTTTTTTTTTAAAGATTTATTTATTTATTCATACAGAACTGGGGTACAGGCCAGAGATGTGGAGGGTGAGAGGATTCACCAGGAACAGAGTGGG